TGTCCCCTCTCTATCCGAGCACAATGACTGACTGAACAGTCTGTGTTTTGTTTGGCTAACCCAGCTCAGCGCTGTTGCCTTCAATAAACGGGTTTGCCAGGGTTACCTCTGGGCCAGTACTACCCCTCCGCCCAGGAATTTTATTTGAATTTCCCCGTTTCTCCCCAATCTCTGCACAGCCAGCAAGGCAGTCCAGTTAGCTGTTACATACAGACCTGTGCCGTAAGCCACGTGAGCAGACACGGGTCCCTCGGAGAGCGGTGGGCAGGAGAGGTCCCAGGGGCTGGTCCCAGATGATCCCCTGCAGGTAGTGGTTACTTTTGGCAGCCCCTGCTAACTGCTGCCCGGCTTTTACCGCCTGTGCCACAGTCTTGGGGACTCACCTCAGCCCAAGAGCTCTCCTTCAGCTGCTGCAGCAGGACAGGGGGTCTCAGAGCGTGAAACCCTGCCGATCAGCTCTGCCGCCCACTACCAGGGAGGCACCAGCTCTCTGAGGGGTCACACGCAGCAACTGCCCCCAGGAACTGCACGCCTTGGGGAAGACTTTACCAACGTCAAGACACCTCTGCACTGGGAAGCAGCACGGCCACAAACACAGAGGCACGCTCCCAGTCCCTTCGCGCTGATAAGCGAGCAGGGGGACCAAGAATACAAAGGTGGCACTTGGCCTCTCCTCCTTGCCCTGAGCATCTCACTGCTGCTGACTCGGACTGCTCTGTGTTTCAGGTGACTCCAAAGGGTAGAAGATGCTGGAGAAGGCCACCCTGCTTCTACTCCTGCATTTAGTTGCATGCTCCATCTCCTCTCCTCTCTACCCAGCTCTCAGGTAAGCTGTCAAGTGCTTTATCCACACTGTTGCCCCCTGCCTCATCTCTGACCTTTGCAAAACAAGCATGTGCCAAATTGAGGCTGCTGGTACTTCTGAAACCCAGATGAACTCTGCATTGGTGAGTCTATTTCTTTGCCTTGGCTTAATTTTTTGGGAACGCTGCTAGCCTAGGGGTGATTTCCAAAGGTTGCAGGCACCTGATGGCATATTTCAGCCCAAACACTTGGTTTTAGAACTGAATGTTGGGTTTTATAAAGAGAAACCTGGCAATCTCCAGAGGAGGCAGCACCTCCAGCTTCATCATTGATTAAAATTTGTGCCTGCAAGCCACCTGCATTGAAGTCAGAACTGCAGATCTTCTTGTACATGAACTTAACAACTACCTATTAATATTTCAAGTATTTCCTTGCTGACTATTAGAAGTTGTAGTATTACTTCCTACCACTACAAATCAATGGAAGCACAAAATTGAGCACTAAATTCTATAACATGGATTTGCAATCTACCACAGAAAATGCTTTAGCCTTGTGCCAAAGCCATGGCATAATGGTACCAGAATTACTGAAATTTTGCTCTAGAATGCTGGGAGCTTGGTGAGGGCAAAGTGTGTTCAAGGCAGCTCTATCAACCACCTTCTCTCTGCTGAAATAGCTTCAGGACTGTTTCTATCTGGTGTGACTGACAACACTTGTGTTACTGATGAGATGGGGGTGGCAAAAAGAAAGAAAAAGCATAACGGGGAGCAGTGGTCAAGAAGACTGATGCCTTATGGGCAATTTTGCATGTCTCACAATATGCCTTGGGTTTCTCTTACAGGTACAGTCCAGGGCCAGTTGCTGGCAACACTGTGAACTTCCAGCTACAGCACAGCAGCCCACTGCAGAGCTATGACCCCTTGGCAGAGGAACAGGAGGAAGAGATGAGTTTTTTAACAGACCCCACAGAAAAGAGGTTTGTACCTCACCTCTCAGCCCTGCTGTAGCAAGCGTATGCTGGTCACGATCTTCCCCCAGCCCAGGAACAGACCAGAAGGTCACTTAGTCTCACCTGCACCACAAAGGTCAGGCTCCAGGGGAAGAACCCAGCTCAGTCCTGCAACCAGAGCAGAAGGTTGGGGCTGCACCAGTTCTCACCATCACCCTTGTCCAGAGCCACATCCTGCTGTCCCCCAGGAGCAGGGATGTACTGACAGGGGCAGGGTCACAGGCCCAGGGCTCCTGCAGGGAACAATTTTCCACTGAGCTCTGGGAATCTATCTGCACGGTTGTTAAAGCCTCTCCTTTCCAGCCCTGCCAAGAGATGGAGGATGGCTATTTCTGTCTGAAGCACAGAGGACTCATCCTTACAACCGTGGGACCAGCCAAGTGGCTTGTGCTTCCCTTGACTGTGGATTTGCAAGAGCCTGGTTCTAACCATGGGCTAGAGACCTGCTGGAGGCTCCTGCCACCCTGTTCCAGACACAGACCTCCCAGGAGGTGCCAGTGCTGCTGCCAGAGCACAGGAACATTCCAGCCCCAGCTCTGCCCTCTCCCAGCCTGTGGTTCTCCTCCTCCTTTCCAATGGTTCTCTGACCTCACCGTTGGTTTGCAGGCACTTCTCCTGATGTGTTTTAGCAAAGCCACGGATTAAAGGACATTTTATTTTGCCTGCTGCCTCTACATGAAGGACAAAGCTCCTTCAAATCCTTTTACCCTCCAGTCCAGTACCAAAACGTGTCTGCTATGGTTACCTGCCCTGGTATCAGCAGTTACATCTGGTGTATTTGGTCACCCGAAAGACCCATTTCTCACCTAGCAGGTTCATTGCTAGCTCAGAGCTCACACCTTGTGCTTGTCCTTCACCCCTAGGATGCAGCGCCATGCTGACGCCATATTTACCGACAACTACCGGAAATTCCTGGGACAGATTTCTGCCCGCAAATTCTTACAGACCATCATTGGCAAGCGGCTTGGGTAAGTGTTTTGCTGTCCTAGGTGTAACATTTTGCTTATTGCATGAGGCAGTTTCTTTCACACATACAGCAGAAATCCCTGCCTTTTAGTGCAACAGAAGCAATCTCTGCTGCTGTTCCACATCCTGAAGGGCATCCCTATGTCTCGGATTCCCCTAATCACAACTATCATTAAGCAGCCTAATTCTTTCCTCCAAGGCTGTAAGTGTCAGATCAGCTGAAAGCTCTATCATAATATCAACAAGCAATAATATTTGCAAATAACAATTACAACGATCATTCACTGGTAAGAAGCAGTTATTCCTGGCCTGGTTTGGACACAGAAAGTAGCCTCTCCACTACTAGTTGGTAGATCAGTGCTGCTACTAAGTCAGATCAACTAGTCAGATGTGAGCCAGCTCCAATCCCTTGTCCAATGCAAAAACAAATACAGCTGACCAATTTCTTTCTGAAATTAAGCAGAATGGCTCTAGGCTTAGACCCACAGCACATTCCCTTGCTGTGCTGCTCAGCCTGAGGCAAACTTTGAGTGAGGGACTGAAAAGCATCTCTGAAACAAAGATGCTTCTCATCTTTGTGTAATAGAAGCAGCGAGAGCAGTGTGGGACAAGGGGTGCACGAATTTCTGACAAGGCGCCAGTCTGACAGCATCCTGATGGACAGCGGCTACCACCAACAGATGGTACTACGGGATTTCCTGGGAGCCAATCTGCAGGATCAGCGGTAGGTGGGAATCAGTTCATTAGCTGCTCACTGCAGGAATAAGACAAGGTCCTTATTGCTGTCTGGCTTCCAGATGTGAAGCTACTGGATTAAAAATTAGCTTTCAGGTACAGTCAGGGAAAGAATAAAGCTCTCACACCTGACCCCATAACCCTTCCCTTTTGTGGGCAAGTAGGTTGCAGATAAGGAACAGCCACCCCGCACCACACTTCGTAGCACATCACTCTGCTTCTCAACCCCACAATTCAGTACAAGAGTGAGGGAAAAAGATAATTTCTCTCTCAATCCCAATTATGCCATCACTGTCCTATTCTCTTTTTCCACAGGCCTCAGGACATCAACAGCAGCCGGTTAGAAGGCTTTCCCAGCACCCTGGCTAAGCTCATGTAAATACTTTTTTTCATCTCCCCATGCTCTGGTGAGTACCATTCCCTGCTCAATTCTATACGTAACACACTACACCTGCACTGCTTAAGTAGTTTGAAGGCTCTCCTCCAGCAAAGCCAACTTCTAGTGCTGTCCATGAGAAAGAGTGCTTGCTGCAATTTAAGGGGAAAAAACCCTCCCAATACATTTTGTCAAGTACCTAAAGTCCTGTTAGTCTGAACACATGGACCATGAGTTTCATGAAACTGCATGTGGATGCCTGGGAACAGGCTTGCAGCAACCAAAAGCAGCCTTGTACAGCTATGTGAGACAGAGTGCTCGCGTGTCTAAGATAGGCTAAAGGCAGACAAAGGTCTTCCCCCAGGAGCAGAACCTTCCTCTAGATCCCTGAGACATTTCGTTTTCCCTGCACTGAGTAGGAGAGGAAATCTTACTGTTTTCTGTATCCCTCACTCCTGAAGGTAGTCACCTGGAACTTGAATTATGCTCTAAATCTTGCCAGCCCTGGAGGCCTGAGAGCCAGCACAGTCCATCCTTGGGAATACCTTCACTTGTACAGCCGTCAGTTGCCCTGTTCGAAGCAACCTCTTCTTACTCCTCTGCCCCACAGAAATTAAGCCTATCTGACCCTAGCCAGCACAATATAAGGGGTGTGGAGGGACCTCCATGCATTCTAAACAAAAAGGGGGCTGGGAAGATCAGAACTTTACATAAATCACGCTGACAGACTCAGCTGGGAAAGCACGGCATTTCAGCATCTCTCTTGCTTGACTTGGTTACCTTTCCACAAATTAAGGTCAGGCAGGCAAAGCCTCCAAAGAATGTGTGTGTGCTCACAAAGTTTTCTGATCATTCCCTTTTCTTCCTGCTTTTGTCTAGAATAATTCAGAGCTCAGGGATGTAACTGTACAGTAAGCCCTTCGCAGCAATGCAGCCATTGCCAGATGTGAGCAGCTGGAAACTGATGCGTACACTCCTCAGACCTGATCAAAGGAATGCAGTTCTGATACACCACTTCATTTACTTCAGTCCTTACAATTTTACTCCCCTCTCTAAATACTGGTCCATGTACTAAATCACAATGAAATACACCCCTGTGGTTTAACCTCAGGCTGCTTTACACAGAAAGACAACAACAACCAGCACACTTACAATCCCGGGGACACTAATTAAGGCTTGCACAGGAAAATTTCTGCCAAGTCATCATTCTGTTTGAGGGCCTGATTAATAAACATGAGGCCACCAAAAGGCACCTTTAGGCAACTTGGTAAATTGATTCCAGCCTCCTCTAAATAGATGCTGATGGCACAACCACACACACAGCTCGGATCAGGGCGACGCAAGACATGAATCCACACGTCTGCCACGCAGGAGAAAGGGTGCTGGGGGCTGCTGCTGCTGTCTAGCTTCTTCACAGAGAGCCCCAGCAGCAAAACTGAACTCTGAAAAGCTCAGCTACGGTTACTGCTCAGCCCTGGGGTATTCAAACTGAGGCTACAATCTGTTCTGCGAGAGTTAAAAAGAGATCCCTGCGCATCAGAGTGGGCTGTCGCTGTGTTTTAATTCAGTGTGGCATCCAGTGGCTCTGAACCCCACCACGGCTGAAGTTACAACTGTAAATGTTTTCAAGTAAGTTATTAACCCAGTGATCTCACACAGCTGCTTCGTCCCCTGTCACTGCAATTCCCTGATTGTTTGTGTAATAATTATGTCTTCAGAAATGTAAATAATGTCAGGATGGGGGCTGCTTTCCCATCGTTAGCAGGAAATAAAAGTTGTTCTAAATAAACCCATCCAACAGCAGGTCAAGATGGCTCTTTGTCTGTTGAGACATTAATTTCCTGATTCTGGGCCCAGATTGGAAGATCTTGCTTAAAGACCCTGGTCAGGTGGACCACGGATGATTCAGAGCTGTGCTAGCAAAGGCACCAGGTCCAGTTCCAGTACCTAAATACCAGGTTGGCAATACAGTAGTATGCAAACATACATTAAGGCCTCTGAAATCATCTCTCCTTGCACCCAAACAATTCCTCAATAGTCTGCAACAGATACTGTCTCATTCTCTCCTCAGGTGACTGTGTTTTAGAACGATAAGCTTCCGTATGCAGGGAAATCAGTTCACACTTGTCCCAGATCCCTGCAGATTACATCCTCCTTGTTCAGGTTTTACAATTCCAGCACTTTGAAAATGTTACTGACTGCCTCCTGGCAGGATGGGAAGCAACGAGGGGGATGCTGAGGGAGAGGAGTGAAGCTGTGACAGTAGCAAGTGCACTAACTGATAATCTGTCACCCTTCTGCAAGTAGGCAGCTGTCACAGTGAGAGAGAGGCCATCCTTGTGCTTCACAGTACAGCTGGACAGAGAACCCGTGAAAGAAAAAACAAACCCACTTGAGTAGCTCTGGTTCAAAATGTGTTTGTAAACCTCTTCTGTAACAACCAACACACTTCAAGCCATTAGGATTTACTGGCTCCAAGGAAGGGAATTACAAAAAACAGAGCAGCTTGCTAAGCAGTAAGTAAATATGGTAGCTAAAAAAAGCCACTGAAATTCTGCTAAGCGGTATACAACCTAAACACACGCTAGACTGGAGATTCCCAATAAAATCAAAAGACTCATCAAAAACACTTTGTAAAGACCTAAGTCTATATGAGTAAACAGCTGGGTAACTGCAGCTATCTGGAATAAGAGGGACTCTTTTGAAAGTTGAGTTTGAATCAAAACGAGAAAACAAATGCTCAGACGCTGGGAGATTAAATACAAACCAAATAAAGCAAACCAGAAAATGTCTGAGGAAATGACTAAAAGAATAAAAACTGTCCTAGCACAAAACATCAATAGAAATGAGTTATAAACAAAAGCTAGTAAGTGAGCAGTTACAAAATATGAGGCTCGAAAAGAACTCACTAGGGTGAAAAGGAATTTCAGGGTAAAGTACCACGAACAGTAGCTTAACTATTTGTTGCTTAAAACTCATTTAGTCCTGGAACATTTGAATGCAGCATGAGATCAGGTTTTTGAAGGAGTACAGAGGTCAAAGGAGTAGTTTGTTAAATCTCTGTGGTGTCCAATATAACGTTCACAGTTAACAAATGGGTAGGAACTGTTACGAAGAACAGAAACAGTGAGGTAAGTGTGAACAACTGCAGTGGGAAGAGGCAAGACAGATTTTATGAAGTGCAGTCATGTCGCACTTCAACACGTGAAGCTCTTTGGAGGATTTGGCTCCACATCCTTTATCCACATGCCTGCTCCTTGATCTAATTTTCTTGGATGTCCAAAAGACATTTGATAAAGTTCCTTTGCCAAAAGGCCTCTAAAAATCCAGCCTGACAGAGGACAAACAGAAGCCAACACACAGACGCAGGGGCAAGAGCAACTGTTAAATTTCCCATGTGGAAGTTGGTCATCAAGGGGATTTTGGCCTTTTGATTATTCCCATCAGCATGCCCTTCAATAAAGCCCAAGTCTGCTGCCTCAGCAACAAGTCTTGAAGGCCGTAATTAATTGAGAAGCTAGAGCTCAAGTAACTCAAAACGTGCCCACGTGGCGACCAGCAAATTTCTGGCATTTGCTTTCAGAGAAGGACAGAGGCGATCACCTCAGCCAAACCTGTTTTTTGAGTGCAAAGGTTACTTCCAGAGCCTGCAATGGCAGTGAGCTCACTTGAGGGACCCTCCAAACGTTCCAGGGTCAGGTGCAGGCACGAAGGCCAGCGCTGCAGCTGGCTCCCCACAAGGGCCAGGTCTCCTGGACTCCTTCTGCCTGAGCCCCGCGAGCCCACAGCAACTTCTTGCTGGCGCCAGCCTGAGCCAGAGAGAAGCCATTAGCAGAGAAAAGCAGACGATGGCGTCACACGAGGGACAGGCGGGAGCAGGAAGTTCTCCCCAATAAACACGTCCCTCTGGGAAAGGACATGAAAGAACAGGAAGCTTCACACAGCAATGACTCACACAGAAAATTGCCCACCAAAAAAAGCTCTTTCCACTCTCATGGGAGCCCAACTTTCAATCAAGAGCCTCAGAGACAGCCAAAACCCAAAATTCAGGATCATTCTTTCCTCTTTATTCACAAATTGAGGAGACAGCACCTGGGGAAAGGCAGAACTATACTTTCTTTTTTCCTCATTTTCTGAAGGAAATTCAAACATCCTGGGAGAAAAAAGGGAGGAGGATCCAGGGAAGAAAGGATTTTCCAGATTCATATGAAAAGCACTCAAATAGCATGAACACAACAACAAAAATCAGATTTTTAAAAAAGTATTACTGGCACCCTTTCAACTCAATACAAAAAAAATCTGCTTCTGCCTTCTTCTTCTATTCTTTCAGTTATTTATTCACTTCTGTTCTGAAGGCATTTGCTTTGTTTTTCCCCATTTCTTCCATTCTTCTGGTACTAGTGTGTCCTGGAAAGAAAAATCCAAAACATTAACTTGCTCAGGCAACAAAGCACTTCCTTGCACAGTAAACATGTCCCCAGACCCCTTCATTCTTTCTCAAAGGAAGGTTGTCAGATAAGCTTTTGAAAGGAAGCTTATCAGAGTGATAAAACCAGTGCTGCAATGGAATGAGGGACTGAATTCAGGGAGAATGGAAACATTCACACAAAATGAAGGTTAATTTCTGGTGCAAAAGAGATGAATGAGTCTTATAAGTTACAGGATTGAACAAAAAAGCAGGGATGAATGCAAAGTCTGCAGGTGCCTTAACTGCTCTTCTGCTTTAAAAAGGGCCAATCTATCCACTTGGAATCAGCTGGTCCATGTATGCACAAAGAAAAAATCTTCACATCTCAAAGAAGATGCAGTAGTCTAACATGGGCAGAGCAGACCCATCTATTTGGGGTCCTTTTCCATTCCAAGATGCCAGACACAGGCATAGCTATGTTTGCTGAGCATTTAACAGTCCAGCCCTAGAAGCTGGCAGTGCTACAGTCTTAACCAACATACCTGGGGCGTGGGAAAACCCAGCAACAAGGACAAATGCTTGTGACTGCACCTGGTAGCAAAACCCAAGTTATGGTTTGTGGATAATTAGTTGCAAGATCTTCCAGGATTACTTACAGCCCACAGGGAACTAAGCAGTTAAAGTATCAGGCTGAGAAACAGGAAAAGTACAATCCCTAGAGAACACACTCGTCAGGCATTAGGCAACAGGCTACTAAAAAGCTGAAAACCACTGGCCCAAAGCTATGGCAGATAGACGCGTTCAGGGATCAGAACAGCACCAGCAAACATGACCGGGATGCATTTGTCTACTAGAACAAGTGACAGCTATCTCCTGTTCCTCTCCAGTTACTTGTCACTGCTTGTTCTGCGCTCAAATACTTGAAAACCCTCCAGGGAGAGAAAAGACAGTAACAGGGCGGTGTTGTAGAGGACATGATGGCAAAATTCTCCACAGGAAATTTTCATGAAACCATCCTCCACACTCTCTGGTCTGCAGACAGGAGCTTGTGTCACAGAGCACATCGTTTCTGCGACACAGCCACCCACGCTGAGTCTGTTTTGTACCACAAAAAACTGAGTTCCGTTCTACGCTCTGCCTGCACGTGTGTGTGTGCCTGGAGCACTGACTACGAACATGACAGAAAACAGACACTCATGAGATGTACCAGTGCAGCACGTTTTACTGGGATGTCAGTCTCACCACAGGACTTCTCCCAGATGCTTTTTCCCTTCCCCAAAATAAAACCGTGCACTGAACGAGAAACGAAGCCACACACGCACATTCAGACTTGGGAAGCATGCAGAGCAGCAGGCAGTCCTGCCTCCTACACCACCATGGAAATAGCAAACTGGGACCTTACCTGCTCAGAATGAAAGGAAACAAAGGGCTTTGCACTGGTAAATGACAATGGAGACCTACATCAGATGGTTGCATTGAACGGAGCGGGCTGGCTGCTGCTGCTGACCGAGCCGTTGAGACCAGTTCAGTTTAATAGGAGGGTGAACCCTGGACTGGGTCATGTTCTCAGCTGCATGAGGTGGTGCTGACCTGGCTCTGCTGCACACAAAGCTCTCGCCACCCCAAGCGAGGACGTAATTCAGCAGTCAGAGTGTCTGGCAGCTGAATAACCAGAATACTGCGGATGGGGATAGGGAGTGCCAGCAGCAGGACGGGAACAGCTCAGGTGTCAGCCACTTTCATCATGTTCTCCTCCAGCTGGCATTACTGAAAATTTCTTTACAGGAACAATACTGCTTAAACTACGTTTATTTCATCACCTGACAGCCACTTGGTGCCCAAGACGGCGTATTCACACATGCACGTTACTACAGAGGCTTCAGACAATTAAGGAAATCAGACAAAGGCAATTTAGTCTCAGAGGACACGTATTGCTAATATGCAAACCCAGCTGTAGCCAAGGACACCCAAGGACTGATTTAAAGCCCAGTAAGTGACATTGGAAGGAAGCAGCTTCAGCTCAGGTACTTTTTTGTACAAGGAGGGAGCGATGAAGTGAAATGAAACAGGCAGCATGCCCAGGAAAGGCAAATTCCAAAAAGGCCCTTACTTCTAGAAGAGCAGGTCACTAGCAAAACCCCCTTTTACCGCAGCGTTCTATACTTTGCCAACCTACTGCTCTGCTCTGCAGCGATCCTGCCAAAAGGAGAGAGGAAGAAAAGGTTCAGAGAAGATAGGAAGGAGGAAAGCAGCCCTGCTCCAGGAATCAGAGTCAGTGACAGAAATGCAAGAAGCAAAACCAGGCCTTCTGGTAACTTCTGCAAAAAGATGGTTTATACAGTCCCCCTCCCCACCCCGCTAGCAGTGTCCATAGCGGAACAGCAGCTTTGCCTCCAAATGCAATGTAGTTAATCACCACTGCACTTCGACATCTGAGGCAGGCTACCAGCACCTTAACAAAAAGACGTCTTTTTGAACTTTAAAGTCACGTACAAAGGGTTTAACTTTAGCCTAAGGTAGAAGTTTTACTTTCAAATTTGCCATTGTAGTTGCAGCTTCATGTCATTTACAGTGAAAAGGCACACAGACACCCCCTGCAGTGTTTTGAAGTAGGAACCAACCACCTGCGTTTCTGAGCTAACAGAAGCCCTGGTTGAGCAAAGATACTTAGAAATAAGCTTCATTGTATTCTTTTCCCCCAAATCTGTATCCTAGGCAATTTGTAATTAATAATGATTTTATCACTACCCCTTAAATTAAAAAGGAAACATTCTTAAATAACATAACATGGCAACAGAATTCCAGTAGGATCTGTTAACAAGAGAAAGTGCCACTGGGAGAGGACTGGACACTCAATGGAGCAAGTCTGAGAAAGATGGGAGGATGGTATGGAAAAGGTTGATTACAATAATCATCCTCCCTGCTACAGCCATGCAAGCCGATCTGTTTTAAAGACAACAAATCACTGAAACCCTCTGATATTTTATTTCTTTTACAGCTCTTGTCCTGATTTTAATAGCATAATCAAAAAGTGAGAACCCAGGGATACCTATGCAAATAGGTATGCAAGGATAAACAGCTCCCAGAGGCTCAAAAAGGGGAAAGTAAGAAAACCACAGGTTTGATGGCAAAGCAGGTCAATAGGATCATCTTTCAAAGCCAAACTCTCCATTAGTACAGAAGGGCCAAAACTTAATTCTTATGTGGAAACCCTGTGTGGCAAAAATGAAAGAGAGGGAACAATTTAACCTCTAATTAATGCGCTGCATTGGAAGCTTGGGTCAGCAAACTGCCTGCAGGCTGCCTGAGCCACAGCACATTCCCAAGGCATTGCCTGGCAGAAGACACAAGTGCAAAAAATCAGTCCAATGCCAGTAGAGAAATGAATGCCGTATCCCTGACATTTACCAGAGTTTTCCTTCTATTTGCTTGTGTGTGCTGCCCTTTGTTGCTGCACGACTCCGACAAGCATCTGCTTCCCTCTTCTCTGTAATCCTCCTTTAGGCAGGGAAGGACAGCAGTAATACATCTCCGTCTCACCTTCCTCTTAAAACTTATAAGCACAGCGACAGAACGGTTGGGCCTCCTTTGCATTTACATGCTTTCATTACCTAACAATGCTGTAAGAACTTGATACATCATGTAGTAAAACAAATTTGCCACTTAATGCATCTTGTCGAATGTGTGTTTGCCCATGTAAAAGCACACTTCCCTCCTTCGCTCTCTCTGTGTGCCTGATCGCTTCAGCAAGTGACCCCGTGGGCTGCTCTCTCTGAAGGAGCCGTACCTCGGTAATGGCAGTTGTTGCCCCAGTCACTTGGGAAAACAGGCACAAAAGTGGGACCGAGCCCAGCCCCACACACAAGATTCAAGAACCAAAAGCAGCAACCATTGCTGTATCAGTTACTGACACACACATCTTCTCCTTGCTGGTTTTAAAAGCGCCTCTCCCCAGCACGTCCGGCCCTGCTGTACCTTTTTACTGCCTTCTGAGCTAGCATCCTGTTGCCTGCCAGGAACGTGACACCACCCAAAATGGCCAAGTACTTCAGAGTCTGGAACATGTTGAGCTGAGTCCAGTAGACATACATGAGTCCCAACATCGCTGTGGAAAAAGACAGAGATCATGGCTGAAACTGCATTTCAAAGACCAACTGTTCGTTATCCTCAGAGCCAAGGAAGAAGGCATCTGGGTGTCAATACTGGAGAAAAACAGGACGCTGATGCCTTGCAACCAATATTCATGTGGCAGAATTATGGGTATATTATAGACACTAAGGGCTATTAAAAGGAGGATACTCTGGATTTCAACAGGAGATATTAACCTTTGCACACCTGTAGGAGCTTACGGCTTTATAAAACTTCCAAGGAAATTGGCTTGGATTAAGCAACATGCTGTTATTTGGGAAACAGTGGTTGAATTTCTCCCATCCTGCTATGTTTTGAAATTCTACCAAGACAGTAAATAACTGCAACCAAGGGTGCAATAGTCTCTCATTGTAAATGGCAGTCCCCCAGGTTTCAATTCCCAAAGAACCTCCCTGCTTACAAAGGACAAACACGCAATAAAGAAAGTGTGACCTCTGGCAATAAGAAGTTCTATTAAGTACAGATAAATCGTGTGAGAGAGGAGCCCGGATAATGACGGCTCTTATAAGCTGATGGCCAAAACAGGTTTATCGTCATATTAACAATCATGAAAAGCAGGAAGGCAGATGAAAACAAGAGAACAAATGTTATGCTATTATGTCATTATAGTTAATAGACCACAAGCCCATTAAGCACCAGGGCACTCATCTGTAACTCCCAGGTGAGAAGGTCAAACAGAGCAGAAAGCCTCTGACACTTACCAGCATGTCCCATGTGAAAAACAATGGTGCTGGGAGCAAAGCTGAAGTTGGAGATGTTGGCACCTATCTTTATCCACTAAAAGGAAATTAAAGAAAACCTGAGTTACGACAGCCTCATAAACAAAAGCTTTTATTTTAAAGTTCAGTATCTTTCACACCTGTTTGCTTTAAGTTCTCCACTGAATACAATGCATTAGCTACAGAAGCACCTGTTTAGTACAAGAAGACAGAGCAGTAATTTTGCTAGACAGCAGTGCTGAGCTGCTTTAGTGAAAACTTCTGTTGCTTCTGACTGCCCAAAGGCCATTCATTCCTCAATCACTTTTCCTAAACTGACCAGAGGGTATTGCTCCAAATCTATGTGTTCCAGAAAAACAAACATTGCTATTTCTATCCAGCTGAATTAATTTCAATTAAAAAGACAAAAAGAGGTAAGTTTCTAGTTTTGAACTCAGCAAAAAAACTAGCTACATATACAAGATGTTTGCTCTTAACAACTTCATTTTTTTCAGAGCACCAAAAAGACAGACATAAAGGATGGGAAACAGGAGCAGCAGCAATGAGGTATTTCATTAAAGTGCCATCCACATCTGCATTGTGAACTCCAGAGACCAGTGGACGTGACCAAATGCCAGTGAGACCAGCTAATGGGAAATTACTGCCAAGCAACAAAGGGATCAGTTTCACCCTTCGAATAAGGAGTAATTTAACTTGCCTAGATGGGATTTGGCATTGCATTAAGTTCAAAACACTGATCTGATGATACAGCAAGTACAGTAGATGTTTCAACTGCAGACACACAAATACCAATTATGTCCATAAATAGGAATTGATCTGAGAGGATTAAGTAATGTTGTGATGGATATATGGAGTGTGAGGCAGAATTGTTGCTTTTTCCTGTGGAAGTCTGATGTTAGTTTTAACTTAACCTGCCCTGTATTTGACATCCCTTGCAAAAGCACACTGGAGAAACTCACCCCACCTACTTCTCCCTAGCAGCAGTGCTTTTCTGTTTGAACTACAAATTCAGAAAGAACACTTGATGAAAGAGACAATACCAGCTCAGTGCTCTGCACTGACACTTGCTCGCTATGACTGCAGTGCTGCTGTGCCAGTCATGATTAACTAAGAGCTTTAACTCAAAGTTTAGCTGGCCAACCTCCCAAGTGACTTTGGACTGCACAGAAAAACATTTTCTTCTTCTGTGGTCCAGTTCACTCACCAGAATGAGCAGCAAAAGCAGGGGAGAGAGAATCAGTGCTGTGAAAGTGTTAGATACCACAGTGGGAGGCCTCTTCTCCGGTTCCCTGAAGAGGTGCTGCAAACAAACAAAGTCGGCCCATAAGCAGGAGTGTTCAACAGAGCAGCTTCTCAGCTCCCCAGAGAACCAGCTGCAGCCCTGGTGCTGCTCCCAGGCTTTCCTCTGGCTGATGAGCATTCCTCTTGAGGCAAAGACTGATTCTTTAAAGTAGCGTCTACTCCAGTCTCTGCACATTTAATCTCCTGCACGGTGAACTTTCCCTTGCACTCAGAGAAGTACTTGTTGGCTTGCCAACACACAGACGGCTGGAATGGAGCGGAGAGCTTGCTGGGGTGCTCACCTAGTCACATTTTCAAGTTTGAATTTTCTCAGTGGCACCAGTCGCTCTCTCACAAGTAGGACAGATACCTTATTTATTCGTACTCGAGAGGGCTGCAACAAATTTCTTTCCATTAAGCAGAAGGTCTTCCTTTCATTATATAACTGACATAGTATTTTTTTTTTTAAATGAGATGACTTTTCAAAAATAAATTGTAGTAAGAACAAATGATACTAGTAGGACTAGCCCCCCATTTCTGCACATAATACTTGTTTTTGACTGTACCTGGATTTCAGGTTTGGGAACAAAGAGGTTCTTTGATTGGACTGCGGATGGTGCATCCTCTTCTGGGAATTTGATAACAACATCAGCCTAAAATAAAATCATGCAGCTTCATAAAGTTTGATCTTAATGTATTACAAGTTTTATAAAACCTATTCCATTACTATGGTCTATTTCCTTATTTGCCAATCTATGACTGACATGATTTTTGAAGGAAACTAAGAAAAAGCCACAGATTTTTTTAAGAAGCAATTTCTCCTAAGCAGTAGCAAGAGGCAGTAATGCCATTCACCCCTCACTAAGAACCGGACTTACTTCCAGCATAGCAAGCACAAGAAGACTAAACCTTGAAGTGCTTACTGTGAAATTACAGTCAAACCCATGCACGTTCTGAAGTTTCTGTTCTGCCACATGGTGAAGTGAACATTCATTTCTGTCTTGCTTCAATGCTTGCTTAAGAGCTTAAAACGAACTGCAAACCTTAGAGCCCATAAACAGCCAAAAGAACTCTGTTTCATTACAAAACCCAAAAACATTTGAGCTTTTCTCTTCCAAGCTTGCACTATGCCCTTCTGTTAGACTGCCAGTAATCTCAAAACCACATCACCACACTTCCAGCCACATACCACATTCCACAGGATTGGATTTTCCAGAGTGGCATCTCCAATGATCAGGTAAAGAGTGTAGGTACCAGAGGCAGAGTCAAATTCAGTCTTTCTTTCAGAGGTGTCCAGCTCAAACTTGTAGACATTCTTGCTATCTGGTTCTGCAACAAACACCACCTCCTGGCCAGTCTTCTGGTTGTGAAGTCGCACAAAAGTCTGAAAGTAAAGGTTGTAACACGTCTGGATTATCTTGCAGTGCCTTTACAAATGCCAGCAAAATGAGACTTGCCCTCAAATCAAAAAAGCAAAACATTAACAAAAGTTGGATGATAAACTGGGAGCCTAAGTGTCTAGTTCCCTGCAAATGAGTGAAGTTCAATGGCTCTTCGAGTAACTACATTAATGTGGGACCAAGACCGCCCAGTGGCCCACCTGGAGCACTGGGCAATACACTGAGTACTACTCCACAGGGTACACGCAACAGCACACAACAGGAATGCACACATAGATGGGTTTGGTTGTTGTTTGTTGGGTTTTTTCCTCCTTTTTTTTTTTTCCTATTTCATACAGAAAAAAAGAAAGTCTCCATTCAAAGACTTTTAAAGCAAGCAATCTATATTAAAAAAAAATAAAATCAAAAGTGTGCTTTTACAGTACTACCTACACTCATTTTGTCAAGTTAAATAAGACGCAGTACCAGAGCCAGAAAAGGCTTCATCTAACATACAGCCAAAACAAATGAACTGAATCCACATCCCATCTACCAAGATCAGTGACCTTCCATGGTCCATGTCAGAAACATAAGGCTTCTCAAAACCTACCAAACCTTTTCAAGAGCAACTGTCACCTCAGACGCTTCAAGATGGACACCGCAATGACAAAAAATTTGTCCTAACCTGGTGAGGGATGAGTTCAGCTCCACTGTTCACATCTATCAGTTGGAAGGATAAAGCAAAGTTCTGATGGCTGTCAGCAGTGAAGGAGCCCTTGGCTTTGGCTGGGTACGCTACCCTAGGAGGTAAAAAACAAACAGAATTGAGGTGATCTTCCAAGAAAAGGCCTGGCATTCAAAGAAATCGAGGCATGCAAGCCTGTCTAGCACTACTGCAGTCTGCTCAGCACAGATGAACTACTTTATCAAAGTCAGGTGAACAAACACGTCTTTCTCTTCCACATAAATTTAACTAAAAGAAATTAATGGATTTTCTTTTAGTAGTATTTTTGTGAGCTATATATCTTGCCCATGTTTAAGTAAAACAGATGTTTGTTTTAAGGTTCAAAGGAAGGTTTTGCTAATACTATGCCTCACATTCCATTTAGCCAAGGCTACGTTACAACAAAAGGTGTGATGGCAACAGAACAGAAACACATGTTCAAACTTCAGCACAGGAAGGTTGTTTCAACACAGGGGGCATTAGTGGGCCATGCAAACCAAACTAAATTCCTTACATTACATTCTACCTGATGTCAGTTAGAAAAATGATAACATTAAATTCAAGTACACCTCTCAAATACAGCATCCGTGTTGCTTCAGAGCATCTCTACCAGAACTCAGTAACACCAGAAACATTAACGTAATTATTTGAGCTTGCTTTCGTTACGGAGAAGTGCCAACAAAGGAAGAGAAGACTCAGGCTGCCTGGCTTCTGTTCATATTTATTTTAGTATTAAGGAAAAACACCTATCAAAATAATCTGTTTTGTCCCAATGAACTCACAGGTTTGAGAGAAACAGCACAGCTACAGCTGTGTGGTTATTCTGATATAATTTCCTCTGGTTTGACCAAAGTAGGTAAAGCTCAGACAACTTCCAGTCTAGAGCCAGAGTTGCCCCTTAAAATTTCGCGCACATTGAGTTGTTTTACCTGGTTGTTTTTGGCGCAATGCTCTGATCTTTATCCACAGTAGAAAGATCTACATTGGTAATCCCAACTTCCGTGGAAACTTTTACTTTCAGCTGCAACAAAACACAACAGAAAATTACTTAGAACACTCTACATACACTAATTATGATCAGAAGCTTTAGCTCTTCTGTCCTCTTCCCCAAAGAGAGCCTTACACCAGGTGGAAGACAGAACCTAACCGGAACAGAAGTATCTACAGCAACTTATTTTCTGGCAAGGCTCCTGCACCAATCATTAACTCACACTCTTCCTGCACAAGGAGCCAGCTCTGAGGACACCGACTTCTCAGTCATGTTGGCATCAGCTGCTCTTTGGAAAACTGCTTTCAATGAAACACTCCAACTACCCAGATTCAACCAGTTTTCCTTCTGAGCTAGCAGCAAGTAGCTATTAAAGACTACATCACGTATGACACAACTTAAAACCCCACATGTGCGTGTGTACTTCTGCCTACTGGATAGCAATCTGAGACGAGAGAAGTCTCCAGACAGCAGCCAGTTATGTCTCTGTTGGCTCCTAAAGCCTAACAGGTTTCTCCTGATTTTATTATTGAGCATTCCCGCAGACATGCACTTCGTTCAGCAACGTTTCCTTCAGAGTCACAGCACTTACCACCTGGGGCAGGGCACCGTTTATCACACTCCTCCGCACGAAGTGCAGTGGAGCAGAGAAACTACTTCCTGCCCTCTCGCTGGTCCCAAACCAGAGCCCATCTCGGCAGTGAGCCACGGTGGCTTTTACTGCCTCCAATCCCTCTCTCCAACACAAGCAGTTACTGCTGTCTGTAGTTTTTAATTAGCGCGTTTGTTCTCACAGCTTACAAATGCTCCCCTGGAGAACTGAAGTTGCACTGCCAAGATATTTTTCATCACATACCACAATTTGTTATTATGGGTTCGCTCATGTGAACCAGCCCCACACCCTCACCCTGAAAAATAATTTGCAGAGAACCTGTGGGAAAAACATGTGAAAACATAAACCAAAGTATTCAGGTCAGACTTCAAACACAACCACCTTAGAAGCTCCTTCACAACAAAGAGTGCAAGTTAAGATAGAGGCTACCCCTGCAAACAAAGCCATTAATGCGTAGACGATTCAGACTAACTTTACTAAAGCCTTAGCTTGTTCCAAGGTGGGGGCAAAGAAAGGTGGACTAACGAAATATTAATTTTGAAAAAGTTACGTGAAGGCAACTCAGCGCTGCTGCACACAGCCCCTCCAAGCGAACAGTACACAAACATCTCTCAAATATTTTAATGCCAGGAAATGCAGTCTCTGCCAGAGTAATAACCCACTGGTTTAGCTCATTACTGTCAAAACGATGGTGCATTAAGGACAATTAATGCTAATAACAGTAAGAAAAAAAAAAAAAAGCAGCTCCCCCAGCAGCCCTCCCCCCTAACAATGTGTCATGTTAGAAGCAGGTCACACAAAGCCGCCGCAGCGTTAATACATTCCTGTCGGTACCTCTGTGTGCCAGCAGCAAGCTTAAGCAGGAGCACTCAGTCCCCTTCTGACACTCCTAAGTGCCATTACTACTGCAGTGACATCGATTTGATACACAGAGCAAAGGTCAGCAGTTGTAAATAAGGGTCTTCACTCCAAGCTGACTAGGCTGGAAGACTTCAGAAGCTGATCTCTCTCCTTAAATAGGTGATGGGGGCAAAAACTAACCCTGCGAAGAGACACCACTGGGGAAGAGCATTCTCAGCTGTTGACACTGAGGTGACTGTACAAATAGTTAGAAGTCACATTCTTCTCACTGTAAAAAACTCAAAGAAAGGAAAACTTTGAGTGTTTATATAAAACTCTTCTTCAGAAATGTGTGGTTATAGCAGCTTTGGCCATCAAAAGTGGGGAATGCACATACAAAATGAAGACTTCATCTGCATTTGCTTCGGTCACTGCTTCTCCACTATAAAAGCATCACCAGGAGACACCGTTAAGGAGAGACAAAAGACACCCTCAACTTTCTTTTAGGGCTCTAGAGCTTATATAGACAGACAACAAAAAATGTTCAGCTTTCATACATCAGCCAATCACCAAGCAACTACTAGCCAAGCCTGGAGATTTAGACTCGAATCTCAAATGCTGTGAGGAACTAACATCCTTAGTAATCACTCTTGCATAGCTACTTTGGGCTGCCACATAAACACTTCCACTGTTAGCCTCTGTCCATACGCTGTCAGATCAGCATCTAAGTCAGTGTTGAAATTTACACAAATCTCTTTTGATCATACAGCGTTACTTACTGGCCATAATCCTGAGTCAAAATCCAACGCATTAGAGAAAAACATGTGATAAAAATGCTATACAACTGGCAAAATCCTTAACAAGTATTAATAAAAAAGCAGTTTCACTGAAAAGACATGGAATTAACATGCCACCAAAGAAGCACACCCACCTCAACTTTGTTGGCAATAAATCGCTTATCTCCATCAACACTGATAGAGAAATCATAATACCCACTGGCAGGTTTCACACTCATGAAGTTCAGCTCAAAGACGTCTCTATAACAAAAAAGTGCAAGGCATTAAGCACCCTCAAGGGCACTACTAGCAGCCTACAAATAAGCTCCTAAGAAGTCTCCAAATATGCGAGATTAAGCGGGCAACCAAAGGCAGCACAAAACTAACATTGCTAAGTGCAGCAGGAAAAGAACTCTTCGAAGTTGCCCTAAAGTCAGGAGAACATTAGAGTTTTCCACTTCCAAATCAGAAGAAAAAGCAAGAGAAATTCACCAGCAATACCAGATGTGTTCAGTCACCCACTACCAACCAAATGCAGCTGCAGCAATTTGAGTTTTCCAATACACAAATATATCTCAGGTGAAAGAACACATAAGGAAAATGAGTCCAACATTGTTTAAATAACACCTATTTGCATCAAACTTTAAAAATAAGATTATCTTCTTACCCTGACAGAGCAAATGCTGTCTGTTGAAGGACAGTGGCTTTGCTAGATGCAGCCTTGGCATAGTCAAGCTTTACGGAAGCTTGAGTCAGTGGCTGTGACATAACATCAGTCACTTGTAGCTGCAAGAAAAAAAAAACAAACACAAAAACTTCTGTAGGCTCACTGTCCCAGAAGGAATGCAGGAGCACAGATGACTCACTACCCCTCTGTATTATACACTCAGTGTTTTCCCCTGCCCAGCACCTCAGATTCACCAAGTTCTTTCTAACAAAACTGGAGAAGCTGAAGTTTGTAATCAGCAGAGCTGACTTCCACACAGTGCCTTCTTGAGGTAGTGTCTGGTAAGCAGAATTTCCTAAGAATCACTTCTTAAACCCACTAAAAACCCCAGATCTACTGGAATCTGAGTCCTGGAGCAAAAAATAATATACATCACCTTACACAGTCAGCCCAGACCTACAATACTAAAGACTGAGCAAAGAGAAGAGTAAAGATTTGGGGTTAAGGACTCACCCTGAGTATGGGCTGATGGTGAGACACGGCTGAGGGCCCATCGGGGACAATGATGACGGGTAAGTGGTAGCGGTTCCGGGATAAAGAACCTGCAGCACAAGCAATGCTGAAAGCCTCTGAGAGCGTCTCAAAGTTTTTCTTGCTAAAAATTGCATTCATCAACTGGATAATTTGATCCTGAAAGAAGTAAAAGCAAATCATATAAAAGAACCAGCAGCCTACCACAATATTGCAAAGATGGGCTCAGTATAATGTTATTAATAAAAACACCATTCATAAAGACTACTTAATTTCCCTTTTGCTCTAAAAATAATTCAAGTTATGAGGTAACCCCAAATTAATTATCTTTTGAACGTCACATTAGCACTCTTGTTCTTGGCTGGGAAGTTCAAACCACAATTGCTGTAATTGTGCTAAAAACTCACAAAACCAGAATTTGGATCTACCTCTTCAAACTTCTGTGTTTGGGAATAGAAGATGCCTCCAGCTCAACTATCCAGACTGTGCACAGCTGCAAAAAGACAAATTGGCTCCAGAAGCCACACAATTGTCTTCACAGAGTGGGGAAGGACTAGGCTAGATGTCCTGGCTACCTGCCAAGCAGCGAAGGCTACGGAGCGGTGATGCGAAGCATCCGAACGGCTCTGGAAGGAGCCAGTCCAGACCCACACAGGCTTATCCTCTGAGGCTCAGCAGCATCCTCAGGCTAAAGAGGATTAGCTTTTAAGCAGTACCACCAGGAGCAGAGAGCCCGCCCTGGGATGTGCCAAAGCTGATTTGCTCTCTCTGAAGGAGGAGCGGGACTGCATCCCCCAGCTGGTTTTGCAGTCTGACTTCATAGGGGTTAGTGCACTGGCGCCACACTCCACAGGGTGTGCCACACTATTCAGATTCCATCACTCCCTGCTAGTCTGGAAAGCAGAGGGACCAGTTACCTGTACTTTTATCCAAGCAAAGGATTGAGGGCTGAATTCTAATCAGAAATGGGAATAACCAAAGACAATCCCAAATAAAGCAACAGGCATACAACTTTGTAACCTACAAGGAATGCTTTTGAATTAAATCAAGCGCAAGTTGAATTTTCACCCTTCTGCTTGTATTAACAAGCACCAAGATACAGCACAGCTAGAGAAAGCATCCAGGCAGATGCTACAAAACTCCTACACAGAGCAAATCCTCCAGTAGTTTTAATTTATATGGAGGGTATGGCATAGGTCCAGACCCTAATCAGCAGCTCATATTCAATTAAATTGCAGGGCGGGGGGGGAAGTGACTGGCTTTTTTTCAAATACTACATGTTAATTTTTAAAGAGAGTTTTGAGGCACTCTCGCCATTCACAAGAGATAAAGCTTTAAGCCCCAACAATAGTATTTCTGACAGCACAATTTTGAAACAACTCTAAACAATTTTCCTTAATTGGTCCTTTTTTAAAACATCATTTGGATGCTGACAGTTTGAATTGTGTGTAGCAGAATCACCATCTCAAAAATGACATCAAAATGACTTTGCATTAGTCTGTTTGGCAGCAGCATGGAAGAGAGCCAGGAATGAACTCAGATGTCTTACACTGGCTTCTGCCTCAAGCCTGACACTTTGGCTTGTGTTTTAGGAGGCTGCCATCCTCAATCCAAAGCCCATCTAAGTCAGCTTATTGGGCAAAAACCCCACTAAGTGGATAGCTTGCAGTAATGATTTCTAGCTTAATCAAGCTCAAAAGGAATTTCCACCATTCTATTTTAGACACAAGTTCTTCCATCTGGATTGCTGTAGGCACATTGCACTAATGCTGCGCGCCTTTCGGGCACCCCAAACTAGGGCGCCTGCACTTTCTCACAGGTAAATAACATTTGCAAAACACTTTGAAATGCTGGAAAGTACTAGACAAGTGCCAAATACCAGAACAAACTCTGAAAAGAGAGGGTTTTCTTTTTCACCAGCTTATCTCAATAAACAAAGAAAAACTAGACCTCATGTGCAATTTCTTTCTGTACATTTGAAAAAGAAAAAAACAAACCAAATTCAGCCTGTGATCCTGAAGGTGGAATTTCCTCCTAGATTCTGTTACTCAGCATTCCCTCTGACATGACCCTTTTAATCAAGTGTGTGCATTATTTTTGGAGTAGAAATTCTACCCAGTTCTATGAGCCTCTTGCACTGCAACGACAGCGACCAGGCAGACGCTTTTTGTGAGCTACAGTGTGCAAGGGAGGAAAAGGCAGATCCAGACCTCCTTCATCGCTGGCTCCGTACCCACGTGGTCTGACAGCTTATAGGCAGCAGCAACGAACAGTGCAGTGGTCTCGATTCCTTCTTCAAACTGCAGGTAAACTCCACCCAAGTCATCCAGGCGAGCCACGAGATCCTGACAGAAAGTTTATAAAATTTAAATTGCGTTTTCGTAGATCCACGGAAGTTAACTCTACTCTTAGGTCTGTAACCAAGAGTATCTGTATGCAAATGCTGATGTGTTTTGTGACAGTTACTTAGAAACAGGATGAAAAAGAAACTTTCAGCCTTTAGTGGATTTAATTATATTTAAAAGACATGACTTTGGTTCAGTCCACTGTGAACCAGTTAAAAGTCCAGTTTAACAGTTAAAGCCTGCTTGCAAGGAAGGGCCAAGCCAATCCACAACATGCAGGCAAGGAATTAGTCAGGTTGGTTTTTCACTTTGTGTTTCACAGTAATAAACCTTTTAGTACTACAGAGGTCTAACAAATTCCAAAATAATTAGAGAGCACAGCATGTTCCTACCTCTATCTCCTCAACAATGCTGCTCAGATCTGCCTGCTGAGACAAGTATGATGCTGTCTCCAAAGCCTGGATGGTTCTTAAACAAGAACAAACAAAAGCAAACAATTGTATGATTTTTCCTTCCTTAAAAGCCAAACATTTTTAAAATCAAAGTAACTGCAGTTTTGAATGAAGTGTAAAACAGCTATTACTGCATCCAGTCAACATAAGACAAAGAATCTGAAGTGACTTAGTGGAAACTCAGAATCTATTACAGAATGCCACTTCAGTTGCATGAATACTGCCATAAACTAATGGATTCAAAGGCAGAGAAGAAACCACACTTGGGCCCCTGCACAGCACAAATTCCCAGACCTGCTGCTGAGGTTCCCAAGAATACGTTTTTCATTGACAAACGAAATTTTAAAGTTTTTAAGGAAAGCTCTGTTCTCTTCTTTCTCAGTAAAATTACTTAATTCTTTGGTGATAAATGGCAAGATTCCTTCTGGTAAGTGGAATCTTTTTTCTACCTCAAAGTACGGACATCCCAACGTACAAACAACAGGGCTGAGGAAGAGCATCCAGTCTAGTGCAACTCTGAGTGACACAGAAGCATAGTTGGATATTAAAGTAAAAAAATTGTTGTGAATCTTTTGTCTTTGGGAAATGTCCTCTTTACTGACCGTTATTCTTGAATAAAACAGAATGCACAAGCTCATTTGGAAAATCGCGCGGAAAAATAACCCCAAAATATATTTTTCTTTCCTCCAAGGGACAATGGTGAACTGAACAAAGACATCAAATAAAAACACAGCACCTGCTCTACTACATCTACATTACAACAATTAAATGAAAAAGTACCTTTTACTCCAAAATCCAACTGCCTAGAGGATAAACATGTAACAATGAATCACTTTTGTCCGAAAAACTTACGCCAGTACATTTTCTTCTTTGCTCAGACGAGCAGTAAGAGCACTAAGTGCTTCCTGAGATGCTAAAGGAAGGCCAAAGCCACTCAGGGCCCCGACGGCGTGGAAGATCTGGGTGATTGAGGAATCCTCACTGACAGCTGCGAGCAGCAGCTCTCTGGTCTCATTTGAAATGGTAACCTGAGAACAAGAGGGAATCGGTTGATTCACGTTTGAAAAGACAAGGCCCTCCAGTCATCACCAACTTCCTCCTGGAGCAACACAGTTGTCTGGTGAACAGCTGTAAGCTTTTGAGAAAAAGCTCTCTATCACTCATTACCTTTTAGTTTAATTGCTTAAATTCCTAAGTTTTGCTGTCAACTATCAATCAGTCAGGATAATCCACAATTCAGATTTATCCCAGTAACCTGTTATTGCTTTTCATCTTGTGTCACATCATTGTGCAGCAGTGATGACACTGATGAAAAATGGGGCTTGGATAACCCACCCACAACTCCGCACAGGTGCCCTGTGATGCTTCAACACAGGGTTTACAGCCAAACAGTTTATCTTCCACCCAAAGAGTTTTTAACTGCCACAGCTGCTGTGAATTCCACTGAAATGTGCTGGCTTCTTTTTTCTCAGCCACCAACACACAATCAAGAAGAACACGCCAGAATTACTCTGCACCACATAACTGCTTTGTATCTTTACACTGTGCCTTGTATAGAGTGCTCCCAGACACTTCATACATTAGCTACCTAACAGACCAAGCCACTAAAATAAATTAAAAATAGAAGTTATGCATAAAATAAAACCAAGAAAAAGACTGAGGTAAATATTTCCTCAGTAACATCTGGCTTCGGAGCTCCAGACTTACCTCACAGCCAGAGAGGACCCGGATGGACTGTGCAGCATAGAAGAGGGAATCAACACTGCTGGAGTCCACGTGAGATTTGATGAAATTGCACGCAGCCTGTGAAGAAACAGGAGTTAACTTAGAACAACGGTCTTCACTTAAGCCATTGAGAGATTTAAATAATACTCTAAGACAATTTCACGTACGCTGCCGTGCATTTTTATACTGAAAAGAAGGCAAATGGAACCACTTTTTAATGTCTGCAATCCAACAGAGCCTAGAATCCCCCAGATCCCACTTTGCTAAGTCTGCATGGAAACAGAGGTGGCTCCTGCTAAAAGAGGCAATTTTCACACAAACTCTACTGCAACCAGAATTAACTATAATGCCTACCAAAACAAAAGTCCCATGGGTATATTTAGTATGGAAAATCTTCCAGGACAGAGAACAGATGAACAGAAATTCTGTGGGTGAGCTTCTTCCCCAGCTGTACATCACACACAACCATTAATGAATGCAAAATATATAATTGCAAAGCATACAGAGAGAAATGTCAAATAAGCACCTACAGTATAAAGGCAAGTAATGAGACTGTCAACTAGATAAACGGATCATTAAGATTCCATTTAAACCAGAAAACCAAGAATTTAACTGCTCATACAAAGATCACTGGGTTTTGAGTATGTGGAGCACAGGCCTTTACCAGCAAGATGGGATTTTCGTGCTATAGTTACCTGGGAACACCAATACATCTTTAAGCATTATGCCCAGCTATTATTTTTACTACCTTACATTTTAAATAGCCTCACCTCATGTAGAGGTATGCTGTCCAGAAAAAAGTCTCATCACCAACCTCAAGGAGTAAATAAATAGTTACTGTAACACCTCCCATGAACCTCACGGATAAGAGTTTGCGGTGCAAAGGCATAACATCCCAAAATAAACTAAGTACAAATGGTTTAGAACCACTGAACTAATTGCATTTATGAGGGAAGAACAAGCTTGTGATTACAGCTTTGGTGCACAGGTAAGCACACACGTGCATATAAGCAGGTTGTTACAAGCACAACTTGTAACATTTAACCTAGAAATGCTTAAAGCATCATGCTGACACCACAAGCCTTTGCTTCTAGTGTGCACACAAGGGAACAAGTTGTATATAAAAAAGTATCAAGATCACGTGACTTGGCTCAATTCAGTGAAATGAAATAATTCGTTTAGCAGGACAGCAAAGCAAACATGCCACAGGCAGAAATCTTTTCCACAGAACAGTGACTGACAGAGTAACATCACAAGAGGATACGGAGGAGTGAGCTCTGAAAACATGTTTTAGATCGAAGCCTGGTGGAAATTTACATTTTAAAGTAGGTATAAGGCAGTAAGTGTAAGAGAGCCTGTGGCCCGTTACGGCCAGAAGAAGCAACTGATTCAAACCGCACATCTGGAGGATGATCAGTCACCACCAGGGACTCGCTCCGAGACCTGCTAAGGAGACAACGCACGTTTTACGTTGCCCTCACGGTCCCGCCCAAGCACGGCTCCTCAGACGGGCCCATCACGCCCCGGCCTCAGCCGCTGCGCCTGCGGCTCCTCGGCACATCCCACCGCTCCTGCCCGGCACAACGCGGCGGCGGAGCAAGGCCCGGGGCAGCGA